GCGGGGGCTACTCTTCGTTGCAGTGCATGGGCTTCTCATTGCGGTGGCTTCTCTTTCTGTGGAGCACGGGCTCTAGGCGTGCGGGCTTCAGTAGTTGTGGCACGTGGGCTCAGTAGTTGTGGCTCGCGGGCTCTAGAGCGCAGGCTCAGTAGTTGCGGCACATGGGCTTAGTTGCTGCATGGCATGTGGGATCTTCCCAGACCAGGGCTCGATCCCATGTCCCCTGCATTGGCAGGTGGATTCTTAACCACTGCGCCACCAGGGAAGTCCCCTAATTTTCTTTGAAACCCCAGTGGTTGAGGGGGAAAAAAGGAAGAGGCAAGCAGCAGATGGTTGTACTTCCTTCCACCCATGTTCACAACTGGTGAGAGAGGGAAGCACTGCAATTCTACCCCATTTCACAGAGGATGAAACTGAGGCACAATGAGACTAGGGGCTGCTCAGTGGAGATGGGGGCGGGAGCTGGAGAAGTCTGTGTCTGTGGGAACCAGTATAATTGCTGCTCTCCAGGGGCGCCTGCTGGCTCTCTCTCCAGGACTCGTGTCACTGCCTGATGTCCTCTGTCTTGTACATTTTCACTTGATTCTTGTCTCCACCCCACCTCCACCCCCTGCCCCGCACCAGACACTAAATAAAGGCTGTAGACAAGGTTTTTTTTTTTTTTTTGCTTTCTTCACTCTTTGGGGCCTAGAACAGTACCTAGACACATAGGTACTTACTTACAGGGACTTAGGAAGGGCCAGTCCTGAGTGAGACTGGCCCTGAGAGGAAGAATGTTCCACCTGGCAAGGGGCCCACTCCCCCTGGGACAGAGCGGGGAGAAGACAGACACGGCCCCAGAACTCAAGGAGCCGGACAGACAATAAGCAAAGATGCAAATCAGTAAGAGATGTGAAGCACAGGAAGAAAATACACAGGATGACAAGGTGGCAAGCAAGGTCTGGGAGGAGGACGTCGTGCTCCAGACCCACAGGGTAAGAAGGAGAGAACCGCAGGACAGCTGGGAAACAGCGCTCAGGAGCTGCACCTGCGAGGGCCCCCAGGCGCCACAAGAGGCTGTGTGCCAGCGCAACAGAGAACAGGCTCCCGTGGCCAGAGTCTGGTGAACGGCGAAGGGCGAGGAGGGGAACGGGAGAGGCGAGGGGCTGCGGGTCCTTGTAAACACACTGCCTTTGATTTGCGGTGAGATGACAGCTGTTGGAAGTTTCTTTTTTCTTAACAGCTTTACGCAGGTGTGATTGACATACCACAAGCTTCATGTTCAACTGCACCATCTGCTCAGTTTTGACAATTGCATACACCTGAGAAACTATGACGCTGACTAAGATGGTAACCCTATCCTTCCTCTTCCTGAAAGGCTTCCTCCTGCCCCCTTGCCACCCCCCCACCCTGTCCCCACCTCTGTCCCCAGGCAGCCACTGATCTGGGACATGCTGGCTCGATTCTAGTGTTAGCACCACCACGTTCATCTTTGTTCTCTGGTTTTCCTCTGACAATCATGCCGTTGTATTCCCCAGGGCTGCTGGAAGGAATGTTAGGTGTATGACAGGTGCTGGAAAGTGGAGGAATCCCGGGGAGACTCTCAGCTGACCTTATAAATGGTTCCTGCTGGATGAGAATACAGTCCTCCTCTGAAACCCTCAGAGAAGAAGATAGAAAAGCATACGGAAGCACCCACACCAGTGTCCCACGCGTATTAATACCTGAACTCTGCAGTTCCCCAGGAAACGGGATCCTGCTCAGCTTCACAGTCCTGGTCTGCGGTGGGTGTTGTCACACCAGCCCACGGTGACTTCATTCCCTCCAGTTCTGCCTCGCTCCATCCTTCCTCCACAGCCCCGGTGCCCTGGCCCATCCTCTCCTGGGGAGGACCCCACACCCCACACCTGTGCTGACAGCAGCCCCTGCACGTGGTGGCCTCGACATGCGGAGCCTTATTGCACTCGTATGTGTACCCACTCATTTATTATTCTCTAAGCAAGTCGCTTTCAAAGAATTTTAAGAGCCTAAGTCTTTTCTTTCAATTGAATCTATACGGAGTTCCGACTCCTAAAATATGAGTGGACGTGTCCTTCGCAGCTGGGGAAGGTGCCCTAGAGAGGGGAAGTGCCCTGCCACATGGAGAGGGGCAGAGTTGACGGTCATCTCCATTCCACACTCACTGCCCCCCTTCTCAAGCTGTCGTTGTCCCCCAGGGGTGGTGGGATCCATGATGACTCGGCTCCGGCATCCTCCGTGCAAATTGTGTCCCTGCCCCTGGAGGCTGGGGTCTTGGGCAGCTTTGCCTGTCTCCAGGCCTCGGCCTCTTCCCCTGAAACATCCGCCTCACAAGTGTGCCGGGACGTGTGACCTAGTGGATGAAGAGCTCAGGGCTGCCTGGCCCCCAGAACAGGCCCAGCTGTGGGGCTGCCGGGGACCCCAGTCTCAGATTTCCAGATTTTGTAACTGAGGAATAATTGCTTAGTATAAACATGTCCCCAAGTGGAATGTTATTTGTTCTTCATCTGAAATTCCAGTGTAACTGGGCGTCCTGTATTTGCTCTGGCAGCCCTGTCCCTGGGGGTGAGGCCATCTCCTGGCCCCTGAGCAGCCCTGCATGCCAGGCTGAGGGCGCAGGGCCAGGGCCAGGAGTGTGCCCAGGTCTGGATGCCCCTGGCCCATCACCCAGGCTGAAGGCAAAACAGCCCGTGAGGTAGGCGGCCCCAAAGGCCATCCAACAGTGGTGTCAATACTGGATGGCACTGGGCCCATCAGAGCCCTTCGGGGAGGTTCAGGTGAGACTGAGTAACCCCTGAGCGGGCTTCTCCTGCCCCCTCCTGTCCAGGCATCCCTGCAAATAATCTCGCCTCACCAATAATAACAGGCATGTAAGAGCTAACACTTAGGGCTTTTGTTATGGGCCATGTGCTGTTCCAGCCACTTTCCATGTGTGTTCCTGTTTTCAGGTGCACAGCGAACCACTCTGAAATGCGCTGACATAAAGCACAGCCATTCACCTCGCTCAGGGATGCCGTGGGTCAGGACTTCACGCAGAGCCCAGGGCTGGCTTGTCTCTGCTCCACCATGTCTGCAAGGAGTGAGGCTAGGACTGAGGAAAACAGGAGAGAACTAAATGGCCCCTCATAAGAAAGGGAGCCGGGGCTTCCCTGTTGGCGCAGTGGTTGAGAGTCCGCCTGCCGATGCAGGGGACACGGGTTCGTGCCCCGGTCCGGGAAGATCCCACATGCCGCGGAGCGGCTGGGCCCGTGAGCCATTGCCACTGAGCCTGCGCATCCGGAGCCCGTGCTCTGCAAAGGGAGAGGCCACGACAGTGAGAGGCCTGCAAACCGCAAAAAAAAAAAAAAAAGAAAGGGAACCAGAGGCTCAAGGGATGGGGCGGAGGGACCCGGCAGGAGGAGAGGAGGGAGGGCTGGAGGAAGGAGGCGCCAAGCCCCTCCCGCAGGAGAGGAACCCCGGGGAGCAACAGAGGCGTCCTAGGCCATCGTGAGTGCTAGAGCGGGGCTGCAGTCTAGGCGGAGAAGGCAGGGCGGCCCAAGGAGGCCAGCTTCATCTAAGTGGCCCGAGCCAGGACGAAGTTCTCACAGGTGCAGGTGCTCAGGAGGGAGGGGGGTCTATGGCCGCTTGAAGCAAAGTGGAGAGAGACACAGCCTGGGCTGGACCCCCGCTGCGCCACCTGCCAACGGGCAGACCTCACGTCTCTGAGCCTTGTTTCTTGCCTGGAAACCTGGTGGCCTCACTGTACGGGTTAAACAAGGCACAGCTTTCCACCCCTCAGGAGAGAGCCCAGGAAGACCGTGGCCCGGGGGACCCAGCATGAGCACCTGGCTATCGGGAGCACCTTTGTCAACACCTGGCGGGGGACTCAAGTCTTTGGGGGTCACTGAGCCCCTTGAGAACCTGAGCTGTGGACACCCCTCCCCCACAGTGCATGGAGGCCGCAGCCCTGTGAAGCTGCCGTGGACGTGGAGTCGGGGCCTCCACCACCCAGAGAGGAGGACCCAGCGCAGGGCTCAGACCCTCACACACAAACAGTCACACTCACTGTAACCTGGCCGCCTTGCATGTGAGGTGGGCGAGCACAGCTCTTCAGGGTCAGCCGCACGACGGGCTTAGAGCTAGACTGGCCCGGAGCAGGCGCCTGGAAGCATCCGCTCCTGCCAGAGCCCTGGATGCCGGCCCTCTCGGGGCTTCCATTCCCTGGTCCAGATCAGCCCCTTCGGCCTCTCTCTGCCCGGGTATCCACACAGAAGGGTGGGATGCAGGGGTGTCCCGGGGGAGCTGGCCTTGATGAGACCCTGGCTTCGAGGGGTGGGGTGTGGGGAGGCCGAGGGCAGAGGGTCTGGGCCCGTCCAGCTCTGCACGGGCTCACCTAGGCCCCGGGCAGGCAGCGCCTCTGGGATTCCACTTCTCTCCCTATACGAGGAGGGGGCGGCCAGGTTTCCCCTTCCAGCGGGACCCTGGGCGCCCTGCGGCCACAGGAAACGACCGCCAGGGGGCGCGTGGGCCAGAACTTCGCTCCCGGCCCGGCTGCGCGGGGTGCTGTGCCCACAACTCGCTGACCAGACCCGCCCTTCCCCAGGGCTCAAGCCCCAGCCCTCCAGCACACCACATTTTCCGGGGGAGTCCTCAAGGTCCCCCCTTCCTGACTCCCCTTTGGGTCTCGGCTGCCTGCCTCTAACGTCTAGCACCCGGATAAGCCAGAGGAAAACTGTGCGGCACGAGTCACCCTGGAGGGGACTGGGGCTTGTGCCGGGTCGCCTGAGAGCACGCCTGGGCCTCCTGCAGCCATGGCCACCTTCTCCAGCACCACCGCCAGGAGCTCCCCTGCCAGGGGCTGCACCTTGGGACAGCTGCAGGTTCCAAGCACAGGCCCACGTCAGCCCCCACTGGGAGACGATGATGCTCTGTCCTGCCCCCGCCACCCGGCCTCCCTGTCTGCCCCTCCTAACCCCTCTGGCCCCAACTTTCCAGAATAAGAAGAACTCTCCAGCACCAGGCACGGGTATCCGACAGCAATAAATTTATTAAGTATCCCCCCAAGATATAAACACAAACCAGTAAAAAAAACGAACCAAACCATAAAACATCAGGCCTGGAGCTGATGATAAAGCAGAGAGACAAACGGGCCACGCAAAATGGATTTGACCTATGGCGGAAGACAGCGGAGAAGACTCACACGGGGCGGGGATGCTGTAAGTACTAAAGGACACACACTTGGGAGCCCTAGGGTGACATGACAGGGCCTGGTGGGGGAAAGGGCAGGGGTGTGTCAGTGGCTACATGGCTCAGGGGACAGACCTGTCGGTCCTGGCCGCGGCCGCGTCCCACCCCTCAGCCACTTCACTTGGGGCCCTGCGCCTCGGATTCCTCGTCATCATCTTCATACATCTCCCCCTCCTCCTCGGCCGTGGCGTCCTGGTACTGCTGGTACTCGGACACCAGGTCGTTCATGTTGCTCTCGGCCTCGGTGAACTCCATCTCGTCCATGCCCTCGCCCGTGTACCAGTGCAGGAAGGCCTTGCGGCGGAACATGGCTGTGAACTGCTCCGAGATGCGCTTGAACAGCTCCTGGATGGCCGTGCTGTTGCCGATGAAGGTGGAGGACATCTTGAGCCCGCGGGGCGGGATGTCGCACACGGCCACCTTCACGTTGTTGGGGATCCACTCGACAAAGTAGCTGCTGTTCTTGCTCTGGATGGCCAGCATCTGCTCGTCCACCTCCTTCATGGACATGCGGCCCCGGAAGACAGTGGCCACGGTCAGGTAGCGCCCGTGGCGGGGGTCGCAGGCCGCCATCATGTTCTTGGCGTCAAACATCTGCTGGGTGAGCTCGGGCACCGTCAGCGCGCGGTACTGCTGGCTGCCGCGGGCGGTGAGCGGGGCGAAGCCGGGCATGAAGAAGTGCAGGCGCGGGAAGGGCACCATGTTCACGGCCAGCTTGCGCAGGTCGGCGTTGAGCTGGCCCGGGAAGCGCAGGGAGGTGGTGACCCCGCTCATGGTGGCCGACACCAGGTGGTTGAGGTCCCCGTAGGTGGGCGTGGCCAGCTTGAGAGTGCGGAAGCAGATGTCGTACAGCGCCTCGTTGTCGATGCAGTAGGTCTCGTCCGTGTTCTCCACCAGCTGGTGGATGGACAGCGTGGCGTTGTAGGGCTCGACCACCGTGTCCGACACCTTAGGCGAGGGCACCACGCTGAAGGTGTTCATGATGCGGTCGGGGTACTCCTCGCGGACCTTGCTGATGAGCAGGGTGCCCATGCCCGAGCCCGTGCCGCCCCCCAGCGAGTGGGTCAGCTGGAAGCCCTGCAGGCAGTCGCAATTCTCACACTCCTTCCGCACCACGTCCAGGACCGAGTCCACCAGCTCGGCACCCTCCGTGTAGTGGCCCTTGGCCCAGTTGTTGCCGGCCCCACTCTGACCTGGGACAGGGACAGGGGGACACGGACGGGGTCAGACCTCCAGTGCCTGCCTGACGGCAGCCGCGGACGCAGCCCTGTGCCTGTTTACCCTCCATGAAGCGGGGCTTCCCGCACCTTCTCAACCCCTCCCAGCCACACTGTGTGGGGAGTCGATCATCCCTCCCCTCCAGGCCACCCACCCTCTGGCCGGCTGTGCTGGAAGGGTAAACTGCAGCCCCAGCACCCCTCACAGCCCGGGGTCGGGAGGAGGCTCATGCCCACGAGTTGGGGTGCTGAGCGCTGGGGGGTGGAAGTGGGCTGTGGCCTTCCTCCTGTCACCGTGTGAGCACCCAGGGCCCTGCCACCAGACTCAAGGGTGTGAGGACAGCTGACCTGACCACAGCAACGTCGCGTGCTCGTGAGCCGGTATCCTCTGGAGGCACTGCTGCTGCCCCCTACCCCGCCCCCACCCCCATCTCTCTAAGGATCCTGTGAGCTCAAGCCTCTGTTGCACACATCGTTCTGCTTGAAATCACAAGTGGTTTCTGTTCCTTGCACAGAACCCTTTCTCTGGGACTCTGTCCCAAGCTGCAGATTGGGGAGATCAGGTCTGCTCTGCAGGGTCACAGGCAGGGGTGACTCTGCCCTTGTTTCTGTTGATCTGGGTTTGCCAGCAGTGGGGTCCACCAGGAGAGGCTGGGGCAGGGGAAACTTACCGAAGATGAAGTTGTCAGGCCTGAAGAGGTGCCCAAAGGCCCCAGACCGGACGCTGTCCATGGTTCCAGGCTCCAGGTCCACCAGGATGGCCCGAGGCACATACTTGTGAGCTGAGGGCAGAGGGGTGGGTTACATGGGTCACAGAAGCTAGGCGCCCCTCCTTCCCTCTAAGTCCTGCCCCAGACTGCCAGCCTCATGCTCTCACCCTAAGAGCTCAGACTCTGGGGTCAGAGAGGCAGGAGCCATGTGTGAAAAGGGAGTCATGGTTGACATTCGGACAGCCAGGACCAAATCCCACGTCTACGTGGGCAGGTTAATATTTTGCCAGTTCACTAAAGACACCATTTCGCACCAGTTGCTGAGTAGCCCCTGCCCGACCCCTCCAGGTAACCCCTGCTCTGGACCCTCCCATGGGCCTCCTGAAGGGGCCTTTGGGACCCTGCCCAGCCCTGGCCATTCCACCGGACTGTGCGTGTGTCTCATGGCCATTAAACACATTTGAATCTCGCTAGGGTTATTAGGATCCCCTGTCTTTATTCTGTGAGTCTCTGGTTGCACCTGCCAGCCAACCGAAAGGAAGGCAGAGATGCTGGGACCCAGCAGTCAAGGTCCCCCCCACCCCACCCCTTGGTCCAGGATGGGGGCTCACAAGAGGCCTCGTTGTAGTAGACGCTGATGCGCTCCAGCTGCAGGTCCGAGTCCCCTACATAATTGCCACTGGGGTCTATCCCGTGCTCGTCGCTGATGACCTCCCAGAACTGCAGGGGGAACGGAGGGGTCAGTAGTGGTTGTGACCCCCACCAGGCCCCTTCCCTCCCGTAGCCTTGAAGCCCTGGTACGAAATTAGGGGCTTGGACCCAAAGCCTGCACTAGTCCCTTTGAGTGACTTTGAAAAAGAACCCCTAGCTGTGTCATCTGTAAGAAAATTGTCATAATAAATATGCATGTCCATGGAGACCAGAGCCTTCAGCGTGGTTCGGGGCTCAGCTGACACAGACCCGGGTCCCCAGACCCAGCTCTGCCCTTGGTGACCAGGGGCCTTGGGGAGTCTACTTCTCCATGAGTAATAAACACCCTCTTGGGGTGTTTCGTTTTTAATTCCCTCCTTTCAGATGAGAAAGCTGAAGCACAGAGAAGGTAAGTGCTGGAGACAGGGTCCAGGATACACGTGCCCCTCGGTGTCGAGGCAAAGATGTCCAGTGACGGGGCCTGGCAGCGTCCAGCACGCCAGCAGCCTCAGCCGACAGGAACCACAGGGGCCTGAGTGGGGAGTCACTTGCCTGGGGTTACCCAGCCTGTCCAAGCTGAGACGGCACAGCCCCAGCTTCAAGGGCTCACTCTCCCCACGGCCTCCTGCCCTGCTCGCCCTGGGCAGGAACCTACCGCGCTTCTCTCAGGACTGGGGCAGGGCAGGACCACCCCTTCCCAGCTGCGTGACCTTGGGCGGGTCCTGGAGGTTCTCTGTGCCTCAGTGGCCTCACCTGTTCAGTGGGCCTGATGCTGAAGCCAGGTTGTCGTGAGAATAGAGCAAGTTACTCTGCACAGGGCCTGTGAATGGTGAGTGCCGTGTGGGGTTATTAGCAGGCAAAGACACCGCCCTGGGCGAAGGGGGGGCTGCGCAGTGCTCCGTGCTCGCCCCAGGGGCACTTCCAGGCTGTCTCAGAGCACAGCTGCCCATGCAGGCCGGAGATCGTGGTCACACACCGTGTGACTTACCAGTGCCCCTCCCCTTTGCCCCTCAGGGTTGGGGTGACTCAGAAGAACGGGTGTGAAGGCCCCAAGAAGCAAAGGGCCTCTACACATGGGTCATGTGCTCAGGAAAAGACTGCTCAGTGAGAAAAGCAGTTAGAAATCAGTTTTCACATGCGTATCTATATATAGATGTCTCTGGCAGACATTCAAAAATCTGCTCCCGAAAAAAAAAAAAAAAAAAAAAAAAAAAATCTGCTCCCGGCAGCCGTGCCTGAGAGCGGTCCGGGGCTGGGGGAGGCAGCCGTGCCTGAGAGCGGTCCGGGGCTGGGGGAGGCAGCCGTGCCTGAGAGCGGTCCGGGGCTGGGGGAGAGGCTTTGGCACTGCACACCGTTTGGTTCTTTTGGAATTTTTGTCACGTGCACATGTTAACTTCTCAAAAAAAAAAAAAGATTAGTTAAAAATAAAAACATTTTTAAACCTGAGAAGTATGAACTGTCATTATTATAAAATGTACAGAAGGATCTTGGCATTTCACCCAGAGAGACTGTTATCAGAGGTCAGCTCTCAGCAAGGGCGGGAGCTGGACTTCTTCCTCCTTTGTGTGTTTTTGTCATTGGTAAGTTTTCTTCTTTTTTTCTGCATTAAGTGTGCATTACCGCTGTAATTAGAGGTGTCACTGAGGCATTCAGGGCCTGATCAGAGCTTCCTCCCACTGCTGGGTTCCCCATGCCCTCCTCAGGACAGTGTGAGCCGGGGGCCTTGGTTCCCACAGCCCTGGGACACCCCAGACCTCTGGCTTCAGAGATACCCACAGCCCCTGTAGAGAAGGGATGAGCTTGAGATGGCAAGTGTGGGAGGGGGAGAGAGTGACTCAGCCACCGAGCCACCAACACATCTATGGAAAGTTCTCTGGACCGCTCTATGACATGCATAGGCTTCCAGGAGGCAGCAGACCAGAGTGAGTGCAGACCCCAGCACTGGCCAGTGTGTGCCAGTGACTCCACCTCTCAGGACCTCCGTTTTCTCATCTGTAAAGTGGACATAATATGATACCCACTTCAAGTGGTCAACTCAAGGCCTGACACATAAAAGCAGTCAGCAAATGTTGGCCTCACAAAATTAAAAGGCCTTAGATATTAGTTAAATTTGTAAAGTCATATTCACTGATAAATAAAATAAAAGATACTTGAAAAAAAATCAATATACTTTGGAATATTGTGTTGCAATAAGAGATCACCACTGGTATGAGCAGATCTCCAAGGCACACCCTTAGGGGAAAAGGCACATTGCAATGACATACAGAGTAAAAGCAAGAATCTCACAGCAGATGCTAGATTTTTTATACATAGGTGCTTATGCACAGAAGATGGACTAGAATAGTGGAAAATAACTTGTCCTGCCTGAAGAGAGGGACGGAGAGGGGCGAGGTGCTTACATGGGCACTTTAGCCTTATCTGCAATGTTTCAACTTTTTAGAAGGAGAATACGTTAATAATTGCTTTTGTAGTTAAAACAAATACGAATTGTGATTTAAAATAATAAAACTTAGAATATATTATATATACAGATCATATAACATTTAATAAATAACAAAATACTATTTTATAAATTAAAGAATAATTATGATCATCACTACAGATGAGAAAACTGCCAGGTGGCGCGCGGACCCCAGGGTCCAGGCCAGGGCTCCTATTTCAGACCCCATGGTTTTGTCTCGAGCTGGGGGCGTGCGCCGCGGCGCTGTCCGTGGTACTGACCTTTGCGGCGCCTACGCTCGTGGGCGGGGGAGGTGGCGGGGCGCGCGCAGGAGCCCAAGGCAAGAGGGGTGCAGTGGCTCCCGGGAGGGAGGGCTGGCCGACTGGGGGGGGTTAAGCTGGACCCAACTGGGAGGGGCGGGGGTGGGGGTGGGGTGCGGAAACCAGGAAATTCCTCTTCCCATTGGTTGTCAGGGCCAGGCCCCGCCCTTCCGAGACCCCGCCCAGCGGCCCAGAGGCTGGGCGCAGACAAAGGCTCCGGGACGGCCCTGCCCCCTAGGGGCGGAGGGTGGGGTCCTCAGACTCTTCGCCCCACTGTGGGAGCTGGGGTCTCCCTGCCCATCCTGATGTGTCCACACAGGCCTAGATTCAAACTCCTGCTCTGTCCATCCCAGGCGTTTTTTTTATCCTTGGGGAAGGGCGACACCCAATCCCACCGCAGCCTCGAGAAGTGCAGCGCCCAACACGTAGTGGTCATCGTCACGAGTCATAAATGCCGTCATGTCACCTCTCAGGAGAGCCCTGCTCTCTCCTGGCCCCGATCGCCCTGACCTCCCTCCATAACTTCCACTCCCATCCCCACCCGCAGCCAGGCCCTCTCCCGAGCGGGCGGCCCGCCCCCAAGCAGGGGAAGCAGCCCCTCTTGCCCACCCCAGTCAGCTACTGCTTGCTGGTGATGGGCGAGAAGTTTGCTCTCCCTCCACCAGGAGGTCACAACCAGTACGGAAGCTGGAAACAAAAATGGCCAAGGAACGCATGCCTGTCCACAGGGCAGGTGCTGGGTGCCGGGGCAGGCAAATCCCCACACACGCTGTGAGCGCGTCCAGTTTGGTTCTGGAGATTTTCCAGGGCTGGGAGGCCGGAAGGAAACCACTCGACTGCTTCCATTGGTCACTGCAAAGGGCAGCGGTTGAAAAGGAAGAAACGATCCCCCTCCCCCCCAAATCCACCACTCTCTCTTTTGCATTGTTGAAAAGGATCAGATATTCGTTTTAAAAACAAACAAGAGTTAAGGAAATTAAGCCAAAATGAATAAAAAGTAATGAGCAAACCCAAGGGCCACTGCACTTGAAGCAGGAAAAAAATCTCTGCGGAGGCCACTGTCCAGCACTCGGGCCGCTGCCTCTGCCCTGCCCTCCACCCATGGGGGCTGCAGCTGGGCATGAACCTGCGTTTGCCTGATCAGTGCCGGTCCAGCCATAGAAGGAAGCCCCGTGACAGGATCACCACTCCCCCAGGCTCATGGTGGGACTCAGGCTGCCCTGCTTCCCTTCAGTGACCCCTGACTCTCGGAGGAGCAGATGCTCAGGGCAGGCCTGGCCCCTGTGACCACATTAATGAGCCCATGGCCCCTTCTGCCCGTCCAGGGCAGCTGTCAGTGACAGCCCCCAGAGCCCTGATTTAATTTGAGGCCTTGGTCCCCCAGGCCTCCCCTCCCCCAGCCCCTTCCTCAGGCAGGCACAGCTGTCTCCTCGGTGATTAGGGTGTCTCCCCACTACGCCCTCCCCCCCATGTGAGGCGCCTCCACCCTAGAGCCCAAGTTGCAATTTACATGTCAGCCACGTGGCTGCCCCAGCCCTGTTGTGATTAGCTTTTTGTTCTTGCCCGGTTTCCATGGCAACAGCCTCCAGAGGAAGCCTTTCCTGGCCCCTTCCCCTCCAGGACCTGTCTCCTCCCACTGCCTCCTTAGGGAACCAGCTCGACACCAGCCCTCTCTGGGTCCCTGGCCTTGGTGCTGACAAAGCCACCCGCCCCCCCACCTCCCCTATATTGTTCTGAGGAAAGCACAGGGGGCAGCAGGCCGCACCCACCCAGCCTGAGCCCTGCGCTGGGCATTTGCAGAGACTGAGAGCCGGAGGGTGGAGAGGCTCTGTCTCCACTTGCTATGTGACCTTGGGCAAGGGACAGCTTCTCTGGACTTAGGGATGGGACACCTGCCTCCTGGGTTCGGCTGGGGATGACGCCATCCCCTTCCCGCCTCAGTTCCAACATCTGTGAGGTGGGCTAACAATGGAGGGGAGGGGCCTAGTGGTGAAGTAGCTCTCGACCCCACCCGCCCACCCCGGCTTTGTTCCCACGTCCGACCCCGAGACTCGCGGTCCCTACGTGGGTTTGATCCAACCCTGTGGCGAGGGGCCAGGGGTTGCCCAGGCAGGGCTACGCTGAGGGAGAGTCCAGTCCTCAACCAAGGTCATCCCGAGTCCGGGCCCAATTCCTCCCCCAACAAAGGAAAAGGGTGCGGCCAGCTTCCAAAAGGAAGCTGAGGGTGGTCAAAGCTAGGTGGGGGCATGGGGCGGCTCTGGACTCTTGGAGGGTGCCAAGTTACTGGCGTGCCGGGGGGGGGATCATTATGGCTTCGGGGCGAGCCCCACCCAAACCTGCCCACCCCACCCATCTCGCCTGAGGCTGCATTGTGACCCCAGAGAAGAGGGCCACGCCCAGCCAGCGCCCCCCCGCCTCCCCGCACCTGCAGCGGCGGGTGGATGGAGTTTAGCGGCTGACCTGCGCTGTGCTCCCGCAGGCCCGAGGTAAGCCCGGTAGGGGCAGCGGAAAGGCGGGGGTGGAAATGGCAGAGGGGACGACCCGGCGTCCCGGCAGCCCGCAGCGAGGGCAAGCCCATCCTTTTCTTCTAGGCTTCGCAGTGGCGAGTGAGGCTCGGGGTGCGGCTCTGCGCGTACCGCCTCCCTGCTTCCCTCCCCCCGGGGACCGGCTCGAGGAGGGGGCGGGGGACGCGGGATGCGCGCCGGGTGCGGAGCCCGGCGCAGGGGGGCGGCGCGCGGCCTCACCTTGGCCCCGATCTGGTTGCCGCACTGGCCGGCCTGGATGTGCACGATCTCCCTCATGCTCGGTGCGTGTGGCGGGCGGCTGCGGGACGCAGGCGGACGCGCTGGGGCCGGGGCTGGCTGCGGAGGATCTGCCGCCCCCGCCGCCCGCTCTTATAGGCTGGGCCCCGCCCGCCGCGCCCGCCCTGGCGTCATCGCGCGCGGCCAATCCGGGGACGCCGCCGCAGAATGCGGCAGGGCTGCAGCATCAGCACCGCGCATCCCCGCTCCACCGCGCGCTGCAGCGCCTCCTCCCGCCGCCCCAGGGGTCTGGGGACCGCGCACCCGAAAGGAGGGGCTGGCGAGCTCCAGGGAGGACAATAGAAGCCCCCTTGGCCCTCGGTCCCCGCCCCGGCTGCCGCCTCTATCCCACCCCAGCGGCAGCCTCCCCCCTCGGCTTTGCGAGGAGGGTCTTTCTTGTCCACACCTGTGTAGGGACCAACCCCATTTCCCACCCCGAAAGGCCAACATGGACGCCTCCCAGCTCCCTGTCTTGTGTCGCGAAGGGGCGGACCAGGTACTCTGAGCTTTCCCGGGTCCCTTAATGGTGGGGTAGCCAGGAAAAGGCTGCAGCGGGCACCGACTTCTCTCCAGAAGAAAGAAATCATGGGGCAGGGCTCCCAAACGTCTGAGTCAGAAGGGCTGTGAGTGCAGGAGGGGGGCGGTGGGTTGCTATGGCAGCTCTGAGTTTCACTGTTCTTCTCTGCACTGGGGGATGCCACCTGCCTCTTCTTCCCCAGGGGGCTGCCATGAGATTCCAAACGGACCTAGCAGGTGGGGCTGCTCTGTACCCCTGCCAGGCACAGCACCTGGCATGTAGCTGCTGCTCAGTGAACATCGGTGTCAGGAATTGTCAGAAAGACACAAACAAGCCAGGCACAGAACTGACTGGGGGTGGGGTGGGGGGAGGGCAGTGGTTTCTGTCTGACTCACTCTCCCTGATGTCACCTGTACCCCTGGAGTCTTGGTCCAAGTGAGGCTAAGGAAATTCGATGGGCTGGGGGAGCTACGTAGGGAGATGGTGTGCGCATAAGGGAGAGAAGGGAGGCGGTGAAGTGGACACGCAGTTCAGAGGCTGGACGACCCACTGGCCCAGCAGTCTGCTGGGGTCAGACGTTAGAGTGAAACCGCCTATCATCAAGTCCTCCTGATATTTCAGTAACAAAATCCTCAGGAAGGGTCTCAGCCACAGCGTGCGGACCTGTTCCTGTGTGTGCGGTCACACTGCTTGTGTGGTGTAGCTGTGTGCGCGCCCCTCTCTTTCTCCTCTTGCAGCTTCCCCAGTTTGGCAAGTCTAGAAATGGGCCTTTTGTTCTCGAGAGACGCCCTCCCTCACAACACGTCCATGATGTGGCTTTCTGTGGTTGGCTTCCAGCCGCCTGGGGCCCCTCCCTGTCCCCGTTCAGGGGGTCCTGGGGAGCATTTGGCTCTTCCCTGGAGCTGGCTGCGCCTCCCTGTTGAGCAAAGGAAGAAGCTTTGCATCCCATTGACCAGGACCCATCACCAGCCCTGCCGCCCTGCAGGGTGGCATCGGGCCAGGCCAGCTCCCCCTCCATCCCCAGAGGGCTCTGGTGCCCGGCTCGAGGCTGACTCATCATCCCGTCTCCCAGCAAAAGCCGGCCCTGCTGGGAACCAGCTCCCAGCCCCGAGGTCAGCAGTCAGGGCTGGAGCTGCCAGTGGTGGGCGGGCAGGAACTGGCCGGGACAGGGCTCGGGTGGCTGGCCAGGGGGCGGCAGGGGCTGCAGGCATTACTAGACCTGCCTTGGAGTTGGCTGATACCATCACTGTTCCTCCACTGAGCCTGTACCAGGAAGGGGGTCGAATGTATGCTGTGTCTGTGGAGGAAGCAGGTGGGAACTCAGCCCAGGGCTGCAGCAGAGGGAGGGCCCAAGGGCTCCCAGCATCAGTCAGCACGGTCCGCCGCAGAGGCCCACTCCCCTGGGGCTTGGACACCCCTGTAGCCCCTGGACAGCCTCACGGCCTTCTGGGGGGCCTTGCCTCACACCCCCCAGGGCTGGTGGAGCCCTGACCCTCCTCCCAGAAGGGCAGCACTTGGAAGAGAGCAGACCCCAGCCTCCAGGCCACCCTGCCGCTGGATGAGGCAGGGATACGGACGAGGGGCTGCAGGACTGGGCCAAGAGAGGGCCACGTTCTGGCCAGGGTCACACATGGGTCACTGTGGTCCTGCTTCTGCTGCAGTTGAGGGCGCCTGGACAGTGCTGGGGTCTTGTCACCATGGTGGTGGCTGGGGGCAGGGGAGCTGCTGCCCTTACTCCAGTTGCTCTGGGCGGGGGTTTGCACCCCAGAGAAAGCACAGGCACAGGATCGGGTGGGTGTGGTCAGGTTCCCGCGCTCTCCCCCAGGTGGGGCTGTGGTTTCCTCACCTGGGCAGCCCAACCACGGTTGCTGGCTGGTTCCTGGGACTTCCTTCCTTCCTTCCCCCCTCAGCCCCGCCCCCACTCCTCCACCTCAAGCTTCAAGCAGCTTCTGGAAGGAGGCAAGACAGATGGCAAGGAGGCTGCGCCAAGCATAGAATTTATTATCAGGCTGCTTCCTGGCCCAGGAGCCTGGGTACTGGTCCCCAGTTCAGGCCGATGGCCCCCGCTTCACCCAGAGCAGGTGTTGGCCGGCACTGTCCGCCGGGGGCGTGCGGTGTCGACAGATGGGCTGAGCCCTGGCTCTCGGTCACCACTGAGCCTTGGAAGAGAGAAGCCCCACCCTCCACGGCGGCTCCACGCCTTCCTCCTTGCTGGTCACAAAGTCCTTGGAGCAGCGCTGCCGACAGCTTTTGCCACCACCCTGCGCATCCCAGTGGACGGGGGGGCCGCGCCCCGCAGTCTCCCAGCCTCACCCATCCCCCACAGCGCCTCCTGGAGCTTCGGGCCATTCCCCTCCCGGGCCCCGGAAGCTCTGTGCAGCCACACCTTCAGCGATGGCCTAGCCCGTCCTCTCCGCCAAGGGACCGCCCCGGCCACCCAGGGCTTGGGCCACACGACAGCGCCTCCTCCCTCTGCCCAGCAGCTCACCAGGAGCCCTGCAGCACCTCTTGGAGCGTCTTCCGGAGCTCCTGGCTGCGGAAGGCGTAGATGAGAGGGTCCACAATGGCGTTGCAGATGATGAGGGTGAGGAAGAGGTTGAAGTTCTTGAAGATGCAGACACAGGTGGGGTGTTGAGGGCAGAGGACGATGAGCAAGAGGTGGAGGAAGAAGGGGCCCCAGCAGAGGAAGAAGGTGCCCAGCAGGATGGTGAGGGTGGCTGCGCCCTTGAGGCCAAAGCCCTGCTGGGTGGAGCGCTGCCTCTTGTGGAGCCGGGCAATGCCCCGGGCATGCTGGCACGCCCGGGCCAGCATGTGGACGTACAGCACCGCCATGAGCACCAGCATGGCTACGAAGAAGCTCACGAGACAGAGCAGGACGGCCGCGTGGTTGTAGTAGGCGATGAAGAGGGTGCTGGCGAGGATGCTGGCCACCCAGATGGCCGCGATGACCCGCCACGCCCTGGGCAATGTCACGAGGCTGTGGTACCGCAGGGCGTAGAAGATGGAGATGTAGCGGTCCACGGCGATGGCGCCCAGGAAGCAGAGGCTGGACACCATGGAGCTGCAGATGAGCACATCAATGACGTCGTCCAGCTGCTGCACCACGGCGGCCCGAGGGGCCAGGGCGCCGGCCTCCAGCAGCAGCATGACGGCCGTCTCCAGCACGTTGCTGATGCTCACAAGCAGGTCGGACGCGGCCAGGCAGCAGATGAAGTAGTACATGGGCGAGTGCAGGTTGCGGTTCTTCATGATGGCGGCCACCACCAGCATGTTCTCCACGAGACTCACCAGCCCCAAGCTGAGGAACAGCCCTTCGGGAACGGACACCTCCAGGCACTGGGGCCCCGTCTGGTTGGTGGCCAGCCCGAGGCGGGGGGTGGCTGGGGACGTGGAGTTGAGGGGACTCAGCAGCTGCCTCTGGGGGCCGAGCACAGGCATCGTCCTGCCAGGGAGCAGGAAGGGGTCCTTGCTCTCAGGGTCCCGCCCAGCTCATGGCTCCACCGGGAGGCCCCTCACACTCCGTCCTCCGGGGCTGGACAAATGTCGGCCCAGGCACGGCCCCGGGCCTCTCCACCAGTCGTCACTTACCAGCCAGGACCCCAAGCTCCCAGTTGCCAGCCTTGCGGGCTCAGTGTCTCTGTCCTGGTCCTCAGTCCACCTCCCCTCTTCCCTGGAGGCGCGGTCGCCCAGATCCGGACATTTCTAGCCCTCTTGCTACCTTCGGTCCTACGAGACCGCCTGCCTTCCTCAGGACCTTTAAAGTCTTCCGCAGAGGCCCTCCCCCTGAGGGCGGCACCGCGACGGGCGTGTGCCCGGGCTGCAGCGTGAGGGCTGCCGCTAGATGGCGCAGCTCCATCCGGGCCTGTCCCGGCAGCTTGGCGCTCAGACCACTGCAGTCTGGCCAGCCGCGCCGTGCTCAGCTCACCTCCCCTCCAGGTGTCGCGGGCGCGGGGGTCCCGCTCCGGACCTGCCTCGGAGACTTCCAGCCCTCTTCCAGGCCCGATGCAAGACCACCACCTCCTCCCTGAAGCCGTCGGATCCTGCCTCAGGAACACACACACACACACACACACGCATGCACACACACCAGCCTGCCCCACGTTAAACGCGGACTGAAGGCGGTCCTGCCCCAAGGACCCCCAGCCGCTTCCTGCGCTCCAGCTCCTCCCGGGGCAGGGGCGGGGACAGAGCTGCCAGACCTCCCCCGACGGTCCCCACTGCCTCTGCAAAAGGTCACCGCAGCCGAGCCAGCACTCTGTCACTAAAGAGTGCCCGGTGCTGACGACAAAGCCTCCTCTGAGGGCGGGGTGGGCATGGACCGCAGGGCCGGCCCCTCACGGGTGGGGGAAGTCAGAGGCCGGCCGAGGGTCTGGTGCTTTGAAGGCGCTGGGCTGTGATGTTCCTGTTTGGGTCCGTCCTGTGCCCCTCAGCAGACGGGGGAGGGCGCACCTGCTCACCAGCGTCAGCTCCCTTCCCTGCCCTTGACGACTCACACGGCCCTTTCCCCCTTTGCCTCTGTTGGTGCTATTTATTGAAGCGCGTCGTACATGAGAGTACACGAATCATAAACATGCAGGTTGGTGCACACCGCATCCAAATACAGCCGGGAATGCAGCACCCAATCAATCAAACACTGACTGCACCAGACCCTCCGGGGTGTCCTCCCGGCCCCGACCATCGGTTAACTTTGCCTGTTTTGGAACCTGATACGCGTGGACTCCGGACCCTTCCTCACTCAGCACTGAGGCACCCTCGCGGACGCACGCAGCGGTCGTTAACGCGCAGGTCGCGTGGGCGTTTGGGTGGCCCCCGTCTGTCACAGACACTGCTGCTGGGTAACACACGGGTGGGACCGCATGGTCAGAGGCACACCTTCAGCTTCGGTAGATTCCGCCAAACCGTTTTACACCCTGGTGGACCCGTTTGCCTGTTTCTGGCCGTGCACGAGTCCCCCACCCGCCACGTAGAGGAGCGTGGAAGGAAGGGCCTCGCCTGGGCTCCACAGGAACCAGGGCGCCCCACGTCCTGGTGGAGAACCCCAAAGGGAGCAAAGGGTCCCAGGGCAGGACCATGAGGCAGAGCCACGGTGGGGGCAGTGCTGGCATCGCTGCCCTGAACCCTGGTGTCTCTGTCACGTGAGTCCCAGGACTCCCTGGCCGCCGGGCAAGCAGTGTCCTGCCTCTAGCTTACATGTCATCACGGCTCCATAAATGAGGCCTTTGAGATTGCTGCGCCTCCCCAGACCCAGCGCCCCCAGCCTGAGACTTCAAAGGCCAGGAGAACTGGGCGGCCTTTGCCATGAGACCACAGCCCCCTTCCTGGGGAGGCCTCGAGACTCCCTGTCTGGTTCTCACCCCGAGGGAGGGGGAGAGCAGGTACAGCTGAGCTGCGATTGGTCACAGTCCTGGGAAACGGCCACGTGAAACCACAGCTAACCCTGCAGCCAGTCCTACCCACTCGACCTCCAGTGCCCCCGGAAGAAAGCAAGCGAGGACTGGCCAGAGACAGGTGGGGGGGGACGGCCACCTCCTCAGAGGACATACCACATGAGACCACGTGCCGACCACTCATGAGGCTGTGAGAGCAGGAATTGTCTCAGTGCTGGGTCCCCAGCACCAGAACAGGGTCAGGCCCGCAGCACACGAAGGCTCACCATGTGAGGGAGCTCGTGGGAGCTGGAGCCTGAGGAGCTTCTGCCTGCAGAGCCCAGGGGCGCCCCTGTCTAGCCACGGCCACACCGGCTAGGCCTGCCTTCATGGGGGTCCCCCGATGGGGGTCCCCTCACAGCAGCCACAGGGAGTGCAGCCAGCGCCCCTGCCCCCTCCCCTCACCACGGAGAGATCTCAGGAAGACCTAGCCCAGAGCTGGGTCATAGGGTCTGGGTTCCAGGGTTGTCTAGTTTCCTTTAACGCAGGGAAAGGAGGGGCCTTTGTGCCCACCCTTTGGTGCCCATGCTGAAGACCTGAGGTGGGGTGTGACTTGATGGGAAAGAGCACAACCCATCAGCAATGCACGAGCAGCACAAGGCCTGAGTGGTCAGCTGAGCCTTTACAGCAGGTGCCTAGATGTGAGGGCCTTGGCTGTCTTCTCACCCCCATTAGACGGAGCAGCACGACAGAGCACTGGGTGGGCACCAGGCCTGGGGGGTGAGCAGTTTCATCACCTCCTGGGCCCAGCCTCTGCTTCACTATCCCCAGGACACTGGCTCTTCATTTTAAAGTTGGATTCCTGGTTGCAAGATGGCTGCCGTAGCGCCACACATCACACCCTCACCTAAATGTATTTAAGGTTGGAAGAGGTAGGGCGCCAAGCTCTCCTTGCTTGCCTGTCATTTTCAGAGATCAATCCCCTTCCCAGAAGACACCCAGCAGACTGTCTTACTTGCTGAAGTTCATCACAGGCCACCCTGGTGGAGACCATGTGGTTCTAGGGCAGGCTCGGTCTCCGAGCTGGCTGTGGATGGTGGGAGGGGTAACCACGTCTGCAGGGCCCTGTCCTTGCCACGGGTGTTCAAGGCACAGAGGCGCCCCCGACTCGGGAACAGCTGGAAGGATGACCTCACAGGCCTCTGCAGTAGGTGACCCCACATCACGATCAGGATGCCACAGACCTCCTGGAAGATGGGCCGACGGACCAGGACTTGGGTGCATGTTGGAGATGGCTGGGTCACACTTCCTGCCACACTGACCGGCCTGGGGCCCCAAACGCACCCTGGAGCACACGGGCAGCCTCTGTGGGTGGAGGTCAGGGCTGGGAGGGTGCCCAGTGTACAGGGTAGCACGTGGGGCTCACAACCTTGGTGGCCTGGGTCATTCCAGAACCAAACAGGATCCTTAGTCACAGGCAGCCCGTGTGGTTCTGAGCTGTCACTCAAGAGCACCAGGTCCCACCCCTTCACCCTCCCCAGCCTGCGGTCCGTTCACCCCTGGATCAAGTGCCCCCCAGTCTCTGCCACGTACACCCCCCAGAGCTGCCAAGACAAGCGTTCTTTCCAAAACACACCTCTCGGCCTCCCCACCGACGGCGCTCACTGAAGCGAGCATGGATTCTGGCTCTGCGATGCCCCGGGCCAGCAGCGCAGCGGCGGGGAGGTCCTGCCCAGGGTTGGGGCTCTGCCGTGAGTGGCCGCGGGGCACGCTCCGGGGGAGCCTTGGGGGGTGTGAGGATCTGGGGGCGCCGACCGCAGCGCCGGGAAGGAAGAGCTCACGCCGGGCAGAGCGCAACCCGTTCACGTTTATAGAACAGCAGAGGCAGGTGGACAACACAGCAGCACTTCTAGGTCGGGGACCTGGCCGATCCGACCAGCACACAATCAGGAACATAACTGCACAGCGCTGGGGCCCCGCCCATGCCTCAGTCCCACTCGTCGCCCTCGAGGTGGTCCTCGCGCGGCACCTCCAAGTCGTGGAAGTGGAAGTTGGCCATCATGTCCCGCAAGGCCAGCATCAGCCTGTTCAAGCCCTGGTCAAGGTGTGGACCCCCGGCCCCTCCGTCCTCTGGCCGCTCCCCCTGCAGCAAAGAGACTCGTCTGAGCCGCGCCTGCCAGGACGAGCCCCCGCCCAGCCCCCCGCCCCAGGACCCGACACCCGGTCTCAGGCTGGCGGCCCCCACGTGCTGGGCTCCACGTACCTCCACGGTGTAGTTCGGCAACAAGGAGCGGAAGAAGAGGGCAATGGTGTTTCCATGGCTGACAGGGCTGAGCCTGGAAGGGGAGTCAGGACGGTCAGAAAGGCCCTGGCGGGGCCACGTGGGCAGCCCCCGCGGCGGCTGGGGAGAGAGGGGGCGGGGACGGCAGGGGGATGACTCAGGCCTGAGGTGCAGGGGGTCCAGCATGGGGCTGGCCTTCGGAACGTGGCCAGTTGAGTGGAGAGTGGGGCCGCTGCAGCCAAGCCCCACTCACTCTTGAGAAAAGCTGTTTCAAAGTGTCCTTCGCTCAGAGCTGAGGAGTGGAGAGAAGATTCTAGGGCATGCGTCGGGGGGGGGGGCCCTCCTGGACTTTCCGGGCGCCTGGAGCCAGCACAGCACCCAGCCATCCTCAGTGTGACCACGCCCAGCACGTCAGCTTGGTGTTGAAGCCACAGACACTGATCATTAATAATTTTCATCTTAACCTGTTGAGCATTTAACTGGGGACTGTATTTCCCCGTGAATGCGCACTCTTAACTTTTATGATTCAGCAGAGAATAAAAAGGACTTCATTCTACAAAGTACGTCCGCCTGAAGCCTGGAAACGAGAAAGTCTGTCTGTGACTCTCCCAGGTCGGTGACTCTGTGACCACGGGCTCTACGTGAAGTAAAGCAATTACTTAACGTAAAGCTTTAAAGGCCGGAAGGAAAGGGGGAAGAAAGCATTCGTATGAGCCGATTCTGAAGGCAGCCTGCAGACTCGGCACCGCGGTGCCCGCCCCTGCTCTCCTGGCTGGGCCTCGGGGCCTTCTGCGTCCCGGCCTGACTGCCAGACACTCGTCCCCGGCGGGGCCTCCGCACAGGCTGAGGCTCCTGCTGGACACCAGCCGCCTTTCACATGTCAGGCTCACCCGCTGTTTCCTCGCAGGTTCTTACTGCAGTTCTGATTTTACATGTGTTGCCGGATTCTACAACTGCTTCCTACCCTATCTCCACCACTTGCTCCAGAACCTGACAGAGGAATGGCCTTAGCTGGACAAATACGTGAAAACACATGGCCTGCAACAGCTGATCCGTGACCCCAGATCACCATATTCTCTGAGGGCTGGACTCTGAGGCAGCAAGACCCCCCGAGCCCCAGCACTGACCTCGGAGCCGTGTGGGCAAAGGAGCAGGGCAGGAAGTACCTCTCCGGTCTGACGTAGGAGTAGATGGTGTCCAAGGGAGGCAAAGGGTCATAGCCCAGCACAGACTGCGTGCTCACATCCTTCAGAAAGGCAGAGAGCAGAGGGGCGACTTTCAGCCGATTCCACTCTGCACCAGGCCTTTCTGCTGGGAGTGGGAACGGTCTGACGGAACGGCCCTTGTTTGCGAGGCTGCGTTCCCTGTACTAAAAGCCTGGGCGAGGGGGAGAAGGGCCCCTCCTCCAGCAGGACGCTCATCCGGCCCGCTCAGAGGACTGGGATGAGCCCAGGGACCGGCGCGGGTGTGGGAACCACAAGACCTCCGCTCACACATGCTGTGACCGCCCTGCAAAATGTCAGGGCCTCACTCCCAGGTTGCCAGCTACTGGCCTCAGGGCTCCGAGTCACCAGGTCACCGCTCTGAGCCCCATAAGGTCACGGAAAGCTGCAGGCTCAGCTCTGCCTCTCAGAACGCAAGTGTCTGTGAGGGGAGGGGCCTCTGCCCGTGACCCCAACCCGGGGGCAGAGCTGCCGGCAGGAAGAAGCCCGAGTCCAGCCTGCTCCCTTACCGGAGGTAGGGCGGCAATGGCTTCCTTGATCTCCGACAGGACCACGTGGCGGTGGATGTTTCTGGGTGCACGCTGGTACAGCACCTTGCGCCTAGGGCCCAGGGAGACGAGGGGCAGTGGTGGAGGCAGCCACAGCCCTGCGCCGCCCGCAAGATGGGCCTGGTCCTGAGAGCAGTGCCCACACCCCGGCCCCAGGCTCACCTGTTCTCACACGCCTCCACGGCAGGGTCCCCGGCGTCCACCGCCTGCAGAACCTCGTGCACGTTCTCCTCCAGCCAGCTCATGGTGGCCGGCTCCTTCCAGAGGAAGTGGGACCTCCCGAGGTACAGGCTTACCAGCTGGCTCAGGGCAGGGGGCTGGCTGTGGGCAGTGGGGCCTGTGAGACCCCCACGGGCCCAGGCTCCACGCGCCCGCCGGTGCCTGTGGGCATCCAGGGCGTGCTGGCGACCTGGAGGGGAAAGAGGCTGCCCAGAGGGGGCTGCCGACAAGGGAAAGGGACCCCGAGGCAGGGCACACAGGCATTTGCTTCTGTGCAGCGTCCTTACTAAGAACAAGTTCCTCGATCAAAATCTAAACACGAGGAGAACGCAAACACCCGTGCGCACAGACACCGGAGAGCCCGCCCCGGTTTCCTGACCGGGCTTGAGGTGGCTGGCTCCCAAGTCCCACATGTTTCTTCACGTTTTACGAGAAATTTTAAAAGGCAGCAGGTGCCAATACAGGCGTCTGAACCACACTCACGGCTGCAAGGACGTTACAGCCCCAGTGCCCCCGCTGTGTCCAACAGGCCAGGCTGATGCCCACATGGCCAGGGCCCCAGAGTCCCTGCAGGGAGGACAGTCCCGCCACCCAGGCCCGCCCCCTGCCCAGGGCGCCCACCAGTCTGTACCTTATCTCGGCGTCAGGTCCGAAGAAGCGGTGTGCGGCCACGGTGGCGTCGGGGCGCACGCTGCAGTACTCGAGCAGAGGCATGAGCACTGCGGGGGAAGCAGGACCGTCACGCCCGCAAGGCCAGGGCTGAGGGGCAGGGGAGGCCGCTCTCCCACACCAGCCCAGGGGCCCCTGCCGCCACGGAGGGCTGTCCGTCCCGCTGCCCTGCGGCCCCACCTGCACCCGAGGGGACTCACGGAGGAGCCCTGAGCACGTGCACTGGATGCTCTCATCATAGAGAACCCCTGCCCCAACGCTCTCCCAGGGACGGGCTCCACTAAAAGCCACGGGCCTGACAGGGAGCTTCCTGGATGATGGAGGTAGACTCTGGGTTGGCGAGCAGGCCCTGCTGGCGGCCACAGCCCCCCATGCAGGGCCTTAACACCCCGTCAGGGGCCTCGTCGGGAAGGGCCAACACGGCTCAGAGCCGGCCACGCAGCCCCTGTGTGGATGGAGCCCAGCTGAGATGATAGGGAGGGGCTGGCTGAGGACGCTGTCTGCCGGGAGCCCCGAGCGACCAGGCGTCACCCCGGCTGCCCACAGGGAGGCTCACCGCCAGGGATGGAGCCCGAGGGCCCAAGCTGCACGGCCCAGCCCCTGCGGAGCTGCACGCGGTCCTGACCCCAGCCCCACCAGGGCCTGAGAGGGCAGTGGGCTCCTCTCTCAGGTCACAGACCCTTTGAGAATGTCGCCCAGCACAGGGGCCGTGAGCCCTCTTCCCGTCCACACACCCACAACTTTAGGGGCCCATGTTAACCAGCAGGTCACCCGAGAGGACCCAGGACGAACCTAACTCTGAGCTCCTCACCCCAGTGAGAACTGGGACTCGAGGACGAGGACAGACACCCACTTTGCTGACCTGGCCCCTCCTGGCCCCGTTTTCTCTCACACCCAGCCCACCGCCAGAGAAAATGCGTCTACTTCAGGTGGTAAGTTTTACTTGAACTGTTAATATCTAAGGACACCCTAAAACCTCCAGGTGCTCTGACAGCAAAGTTAGCGCCTGAAGGCCCCGCTGGAACATGCATCTTCCCAAGAGCTTGGGACAAGCGCTGGGACCCATCCGTGCCCACGGGGGGCTGCGGGGACACACCCACCTCCAGGGAACATGATGAGCGCCTGCTGGATCAAGAGAGAGGCCTTCTCCCTCGCAGAGCTCAGCTCCTGGTCGGGGAGGTCTGCCTGCTGACTCAGCAGGAAATGCGCCAGCGGCACAGAGAAGGCGAAATTTGGGAGCTGGGACAGGTTCCGATGAGCCTACAAGGGGTTTGGGCGTTTCAAGGTGGCGCAGACGAGAAAGGCAGAGCTCACGGGCGCCTGGATGTCCCTGGGTGCGCTGTGCCCCTTCTCCGTGCACAGAAGGCAAATAAAAGGACCTGGGGGTGTGCGGTCAGACCCAGGCCAGGTGGGCGGGAAGAGTGGACGCCCACCTTCCAACGGCTCAGCGTCAGGCAGGGGCCGGGGTCCTCTGGGGGGTGGGGCCGGCCCACCTCCACGTCTGTTCTCGCCTCCCTCCCCACGCCTACATCGCAGATGCACACGACTCGATGCTCTGTCACGTGACAGCACGGTCTCTGGAGACTTCTGTAACCTCCGCCCAACCCCCCCCCCCCCCCGCCCCCCAGACGTCCTGCTGCAGCCCCACCGTGGGCGGCGCCCAGCAGCTGCATTTCTGTGAACTCCAGGAACCTGTGTGAACTAGATCCCGCACTGGGGAATCCTCGCCCAACCAGGCCACATGATCCAGAATTCAAAATAATTTACGTAGCTGTCTTTCAACTA